CCAGCAGGGCGTTGCTCTGTCTGCCCACTTTCCTGACGATGTTGCTGCAGCACCTGTGGAGAATGAAGGTATACCAGCAGCAGCAGCAGCAGCTGCTGCTGCAACTGCAGCTTCTGCTGCTGCTGCTCCTGCTTCAAGTCAGCCCGTGGCAGCAGCAGCAAGTGACGCAGCGGCACCAGCAACAACTGCAGCAGAATCAGAAGCATCAGCAGCAGGAGACTCCACCAACAGCCAAACGGCCGCCGGAGGGACCCCCAAAAAGTCTGAGCCTGCTGCAGCAGCAAAAACCCCGAACGCAGCAGCAGCAGCAACAGCAGCAACCGCAGCAGCAGCACTAAAGCGACACCTAAAAGTTGTGAGGGAGCAGCAGGAGCAAATCAGGCGGCTGCAGCCCCAAGATATTCTCTTTGGCCACATCTACAGCAAACTGAAGGTAGCTTGCTGCTGCTGCAGCTGCTGTTGCTGCAGCTGCTGCTGCAGCTGCTGCTGCGGCTGCTGCTGCCGTTGCTGCTCTCTTGGTTGCTTTTGGAGCTCCACTCGTTGCTGTTGCTGGCGCCGTAGCCCGTGCTGCTGCTGCGCTCTCCCTTGCTGCTGTTTCTGGTGCTGCTGCTGCTGCTCTTGCCTTTGCTGCTGCTGCTGCTGCTTTTGCTTTGCTGCTAGCCACCGCTCCACCTTCCCTCCGCCCCCGTTTTGGCAGCAGCACTTGCTGCTGCAACGTTGGTTGCTGCTGCTTGCTGCCCCCGGTCCCAGCCTTTGCTGTCCCTCCTGCTGCTGCTGCTGCTGCTGCTGCGCTTGCTGCAGGCGCTTTTCCCCGAGCGGCCTGATGGGAGTTTGTATGAAATGGCAAAAGCTGCTGTTGCAGCAGCAAAGAGCAGCGGGCTGTCCCACATAGTGCAGGTGCTGCTGCTGCTGCCTCTTTTATCTTTTTTACTTTTATCTTTTTTATTTCTTTTTGTCTTTTTGAATTCCTTTTTCTTTTTACTTTATTTATTTTTGATTCCCTGCTGCAGCTGCACCTCTTTCACTCCTTTGGACCTCTTGCTCTTTTTGCTGCTGCTGCTGCTGTGTCCCAACTATCTCTTTTGCCTGCGAACTGCTGTTGCTGCTGCTGCTGCTGTTGCTGCTATTTCTTTTTGTTGCCAAAAGCAAAAGCTGCTTTTTGCGTCTCCTTTTGGAGTCTCTTTCTTTTCCTTTTTATTTTTATATTTCTTTTTTGTTTCATCTTTGTCTTTATTCCTTTTTGCTTTATTATCTGTCTCGGTCTTGTCTCTTCGAATCCCGCTGCTGCTGCTGCTGCTGTAGTTGCTGCAGTAGCTGCGGCTGCTACAATAGCTGCTGCTGCTTTAATAGCGGCTGCTGCTGCTGCTGCAAAAGCCTATGCTGCTGCTGCTGCTGCTGCTGCAGGGGCTGAAGCGGAAGGCAGCAGCAGCGGAGGCGCAAAGAAGTAAGGAAAGCAGAACAGACAACTGAAGGGAGCTGCAGTAGCCGCTGCCGCTGCGGTAGCTTTTGCTGCTGCTGCTGCTGCTGCTGCAGCTGCTGCTGCAGCTGCTGCTACGGGGGCGTAGGGAGAAAAAGCAAACAAAGCCGAAAGAAAAGCAGCAGCTAAAAAGACAGACAAAAAGCTTAATTTAAAAGCTCAGCAGCAGCAAAGTCTTCTTTGCTTCTCTTTTGCTGCAGCGCGACTCGAAGCCCGCCTTGTGTTGGAAAGAAAGAAATGCAAAGCTGCGCACACGCCCGCCTGAACCAGCAGCAGCAGCAGCAGCAGCAACGCGACCAGCAGCAGCAGCAAGACCAGCAGCAGCAGCTGCAGGACCAGCAGCAGCAGCAGTGTTGCCGGCACAGGATAGTTCTACATTTGCTGCGGCAGCACAGGCAGCTGCAGCAGAGGAAGCCAGCAGGCCTAACTCATTCAGTCCCCATTGCAGGTGCAGCAGCAGCAAAGGGAATTTTGCAGCAGCAGCAGCAGCAGCAGCAGCAAAACTGAAAGTTGCCAATGGCCACCTTCGGCCCCTTAAATGAAGAAACTTTGAAAAGATAAAGAGAGTCTGTTGGAGAAGCGGCAGCAGCTGCTGATGCTGCAGCCCCACTCGCTGCAACAGTCTGTTGCTGCTGCAGCTGCAGCAGCAGCAGCTGCTGCTGCTGCAGCAGGGGTCCAGGCAAACTTTGCCCTTAGACACCCCTGCAGCTGCAGAAGAGAAAAAGTGTCTTTTTTCTTTGTATAAAAGCAAATGAAACACTTATTTACAATTACATTATTTGTGGATTTGGAAAGGACAAGAGTTATTTTCAACTAAAAACAAAAACTAAAGACACCAGTAGGCGGCTCTCTTCTTGCTGCTGCGCTGCATGCAGCGCTGCAGCGCTGCATGCGCTGCAGCAGCAGCTCCAAGCTGTTTATTTGTTTACACATGAGGGACTTGCTGCTTAGCCATTCTGTACTGCAGCAAACGGATACCCTGTGGGGCCTGCTGACAAGAAAAGGGCTGCTGCTGCTGCTGCTGCTGCTGCAACGCCGACTACTGCCAAGGTGGCTCCCTTTAGGATTAAATGCGAACAGCGGCAGCAGCAGTAAAGGCTGCAGCAGCAGCAGCAACAGGCTCAGGGCTCCGAAACACGCCAGAGTCTTCCCTCGTGAGGCACGCAGTAGTGCAGCTGCTGCAGCATCAGCTGCTGCTGCTGCAGCTGCTGGTACTGCTGCTGCAGCTTCAGCCTCTCCGCTGCTGAAGCCACTAAAGATATTACACAGCCTGGATTGCCCGCGCGGCCAACTCGCCCGCTGCGGTGCGCCAGCGAGAGTGCATCTGAAGCAGCAGCAGCAGCAGCAGCAGCAGCGCAGCAACAGCAAAGGAGCATTACTAAGGCGCATCGGCAGCAGAGGCAGCAGAAGACCGACCGACGCAAGATTCAACAGTGCATGCAAAACCGCGCGCAGCAGCAGCAGCCCCACCCAGCTCAGCAGCAGCAACAGCAGAAGTGTTCCAGCGCAGCAGCACGCAGCCCAGGCAACAAAACACGAGCAGCAGCAGCAGCAGCAACAGCAGCAGCAAATACCGGTAGGAGGATCGAAGTTGATTGCGTGGGTAAGGAGGGGCAGATCGAGCCCCCTTGCTGCTGTCTCGGAGGCGACGAGAACTGCAGCAGTGGCGGCTGTCGCAGCAGCAGCAGCAGCAGTAGCAGCAGCAGGCAGCTGCTGCATAGCAGCAACAGCAGCACGGCGCTCCCGCCCCTCTGCATCCCCCTGCAGCAAAAGGGACCTCTTGGGGCCCAAGCGAAGAGCCAGAGCTCGCTGGAGGTGTTCAGCAGCAAGCTGCAGCGCAGCAGCAGCAGCAGCAGCAGCCTCAGTGAAGAGCTGGCTACGGTTTAGGGTTTAGGGTTTAGGGTTTAGGGTTTGGGGGCTCACAGGGGACCTGCAAAACACGATGCAGCGCTTGTTCAAAGGCTCCGCCCGCAGCAGCAGCAGCAGCAGCGCCACTTTGTTGCAGTGCTGCGAAGACACCGCGAGGTGCAGCAGGTTGCTGGGCAGCGCTGCTGCTGCGCCTGCAGCACGAACAGCAGCGGCAGCAGCTGCTGCTGCAGCAGCAGCAGCAGACCTCCCAAGGGCCCCCAATATCGCCTTCGGGGCCTCCCCCAAAGTAGCAGAAGCCAGCAGCAGCAGCGGCGAGCCCTTGCCGCCTCCGCTGCTGCTCATGCTGCGCTGCAGCAATTCAGTTAGATCGCCAAAGCGATCCCTTGCCTTGCTGCTGCTGCTGCTGCAGTTGCTGCTGCTTCTGCTGCCAATGCTAGTTCTGTTGGCGTTGCTGCCGCCGCTCTTGCTGCTCGCGACCTTGCTAGAGCTGACTTTGCTGCTGCTCTTGCTGCTGCTGCTGCTGCTGCTGCAGAACGCGTCTGCCTCATCCACAACAACAAACTGCAGCGCATGCAGCTGCAAGGCTCCGGTCCCCTTGGGTCGTTTCTGCTGCTGCTGCTGCTGCTGCTGGATCGCTGCCTTGAGGCGCAACAGCTGCAGCAGGCGGCCCGGCGTAGCAACAAGCACATTTGCCTTTTGCTGTCGCAGCCGCAGCAGCAGCAGCTGCGGGTTTGCGCCTCCAATCAGCAGCGCGGGCCTCACTGCAGCAGCACAGCAGCACGGGCCCGCAGCGACAGCAGCAGCAGCTGTGGCGCCGTCGGCAGCAGCAGCAGCAGCAGCGTGTCGCTGCTGCAGCAGCTTCTGCTGCTGCTGCACCTCGCTGCTGAGGCTGCAGCACAGTCTGTAGACTTGTGCTGCCACTTCTCTCGTGGGGGCCAAAACCAGCGCCCTAATGCCTCCCTTCACGCGAGACACGCTGGCGCACACGTGCTGCTGCTGCGGCTGCTGCTGCTGCTGCTGCTGCTGCTCATGCTCCTGCTGTGGCTGTTGGTGCTGGTGCTGCTGCTGCTGCAAGGGCACTTCTTGCTGTGGCAGCTGCTGATACTGCTGCGGCAGCCGCAGCTGCTGCTGCATTAGCTGCTGCTGCTGCCGCAGGTGCTGCAGGTGCTGCTGCTGCTGCTGGAGGCGCTGCTGCTGCTCCTCTGCATGCGCTAGAAGCTGCTGAAAAATGGGAAGTACGTAGGCCAGCGTTTTCCCGCTGCCTGTGGGGCCCGGCAGCAGCAGCACATTGTCGCATCTGCTTTTGCTGCTGCTGCCCCCGTCCTCTGCGGTCTGCTGCTGCTGCTGCTGCTGCCACAGTAGCGCAGCACGCTGCAGCGGCGAAAGACAACTGATGCCGCCGCGCAGCAAAGAGCGCCTCAAGGAAGGCTGCAGCAGCAGCAAAGAGTCCTCGGCCCTGCTGCTGTTTTCGCCGGCAGCAGTTCCATCCTGTTGCTGCTCTTGCTGCTGCTGCTGCTGCTGCTGCAGTCCGAGGGACTCTGGCGAGATGTGGGGCAAGGTGTTCAAATCGACCACGCCATCGACTAGCACCTGCTGCTGCTGCTGCTGCTGCTGATGCTGCTTGTTTTGCTGCTGCTGAGGAATGGCCCTGATCCCCGGGAAGAGGACTGGCAGCTCCTTTCCTGCTGCAGCAGCAGCATTAGCTGCTGCTGCTGCTGCTGCAACTGCCTTTGCTATATCATTCGGCAGCTCCTGAGGCTTTCTGTTGCGGCTCGGGGCCTCTTCTTTGCTGCCAAGGCCACGCTGTGCTGCTGGAACGCCCTGCTGCTGCTGCTGCTGTGGCTGCTGCTTCTGCTGCTGCCTTTGCTGCAGTTGGTGCTTCTGCTGCTGCTGTGGCGACTTCACACCATGCAGGCTGGACCGTTGCGCGTGGCCTTTCTGCTGCTGCTGCTGCTGCTGCTGCTGCTTTTGGTGCTGCTGCTGCTGCTTGCGGCGGGCAGTGCGCCGCTCTCCACTCTGCAGCAGCTGCAGTAACTGAGTCTCAAAAGAGCCGCTGCCCCTGCTGCTGTTGGCTGCACCCCAGAGAACCCTCTGCTGCCGCCGCAGCTGCTGCTGCTGCTGCTGCTGCCACAGCAGCATTTCCTGCCGCCGAACTTGCTCCGCTGGAGGATGTTTTCTGCCTATTTGTTTCTTCTTCTGCTGCTGCTGCTGCATGCGCAGCGCCATTGCAGCAGCAGGAGTAACAGCAACAGGAGCAGCAGCAGCAGCAGCAGACGGAGATGCAAATGCCCACGTCCCCTTTGCACTGACGCGGACTGCATGCGAGGCAGCTAGCTGCAGCAGCAGCAGCAGTAGCAGCACGGGGAGCAGCAGCAGCAGCAGCCTCTGCCGCCAAGGCACCAGCCGCGCCCCGCATCGCAGCCCCGTTTGTGGCTGCTGCTGCTGCTGCTGCTGCTGGGGCTTCCACATTATCGCTAGACACGGCAGCAGCAAAAGATGCTGCTGCTGCCGTCTGCTGCAGCTGCTACAGCGAGTTTGCGGAGCTGCCGTTCTTCTTGCTGCTGCTGCAGCATGCCCTCTTTGTTGGCAGCAAATACTGCTGCTGCTGCTGCGCAGCAGCAGCAGGGATCCATCGCCTCTTTGCTGCTGCACCCGTTCCTGCTGCTGCTCGGGCCTTCAGTGCTGCTGCATGCTTGCTGTTGCAGCAGCTGCTTCGGACACAGCTGCGCTCTTACTGCTTCGGCTAATTTCTCCTTTGACACTGCAGCAGCAGCTGCGACTCAACATGTGTCAGATGCAGCAGCTGCAGCAGCAGCAGCAGCAACAGCAGCAGCAGAGCAGCTTTGTGACCGCACAATCGGCGTGGCAGCAAGGACCTGCCACTACTGAACGCTACTGAATCGGCTCTGCTGCTGCCTCCTCAACGGAACTGTTTCACTGCTGCTGCTGCTGCTGCACAGCACTAATGAGATATGCTAATGCGGATCCCTGCAGTAAAGGCTGCTGGCGCTGCTGCTGCTGCTGCAGCGGCTGCTGCAGCAAGTGCTCTGCTGCTGCTGCCGCACCCGCTCAGCCCCTTTTGCAGGCCCCGTAGCGGCAGCAGAGCAGCAGCAGCCGCAGTAGCAGCAGGGGAGACGCAACTCAGAAAATGCAGCAGCAGACAGTTTCAGAAGATATGTACTGAACAGTTTTGTAGGACTTGTAGGGAACGGTTGGCTTCGCTGCGTCTCCTAAACACCTCGTGCCGCCGCTGCTGCTGCTGCTGCTGCTGCTGCAGCTGCGGTGCAGGTTGCTACTGCAGCAAACCTCGTGCCCTCTTTCCCATGCGATTTCACCTCATTTGGAGTATACTGTTGAGATTCCTTTCTTTGGAACCTGTTGGTTCTTGATGAGCCTCTGATTGCTGCTGCAGCAACAGCCGCAGCAGCAGCAACGCAGAAGCACCATCAGCTGCAACGCCTCCGCTCCTGTAGCAGCTGCTGCAGCAGCTGCTGCTGCTCCCCGCGAACGAAACCGCCAAAAACAAATTTAAATACGGCATTGTTAGGCGCATTTAGGCGCTGCCGCTGGTGCCGTTGCTTTCCCGCTGCTGCTGCTGCTGCTGCTGCAGGGGACTCGCGTCTGTCTCACCTCGGTCTGCATTTTGCTGCTTGCAGCTGAGCTGCTGCTGCTGCTGCCAAAGAAATGACTCGCGCAACAGACCAAGACACTGTGCGATACTCTACAGTGCTGCCTTCCAACAACAGCAGCTTCTCTTCTCTGGACGGCTACACTGCTGCTGCTGCTGCTGCTGGTGCTGCTGAGGAGCAGAGCAAGGGATGGGCCTTGACGGTGGACCCCACAGCAGCAGCAACTGTTGCTGCTGCTGCGGCAGCGGTCCTCTCAGGAACCCCCTATTCTAAGTGGGGCAAAGAGCCAGCAGCAGCAGGAGCAGCAGCTGCTGCTGCGCCTGCTGCTCCCGCTGCTGCTGCGTGCAGCTGCTCCGACTCCTCGCTGCTTTCGCATAGCTGCGCGTGCTGCCTGCAGCAGCAGCAGCAGCAGAAGCAGCAGCAGCAGCTGGCGCAGCTCTTCAGCTGCTGCGACACTACCAGCGTCGACGCGCTGCTGCTGGGGCTCTTAGCCAAAATCTCAGCAGAGCACCCGCAGCTGCTGCAGCAGAAGTTCTTGCGCTTGGGGCAGACTTCTCCCAACAAGGTGAGGCTGCTGCTACTGCTGCTGCTGCTGCTGCTGCTGCTGCTCCAGGTAGATGGATTGGGGGCCTGTAGGGGTAGGCGAGTGGAGACGTCCAGCAGCTGCTGCCTCAGCAACAGCAACAGCAGCAGCAGCAGCAGAAGCAAGTGCTGCAGTGGGGCTGTTTGTGTGGCTGCAGCAGTCGGCTGCTGCGGGTGTGAGCGACTTGCAGCTGAATGAGAAGGGCCAGGAGAAGCAGCAGCAGCAGCAGCAGGCTGGGGGCAGCAGCAGCAGCTGCGGGCAGCGCATTGTGGTCATAGGGCTGCAGTTCCGCAGCAGCAGCAGAGACTTGCGGCTGCTGTGGTGGGCCCGGAGACATTTGCTGCAGCAAACTGATGTTGTAGTTCTGGTGTCTTGCTGGGAAATTGCCCGGGACCCCAAATACGCCAGAGTTCCAGGCAGGTTGCTGCTGCTGCTGCTGCTGCTGCTGCTGGCTGCAGTGCGTTGGGAGTTCTGCTGCTGTTGATGCTGCTGGCTGCAGTGTGGTGGGAGGTTTGCTGCTGTTGCTGCTGCTGCTGGCTGCAGCGCGCGAAGGGGCCTGTTGCTGCTGCTGCGGCACTGCTGTGGAAGCTTTGCTGCTGCTGCTGCTGTTTCGCAGGAATGATTCTGGCAGCAACTTCAGCAGCAGGAGCTTACAACCGGCAGCAGCAGCAGCACGTGCAGCAGCGCATGCATGACATGGCGGAAATATCCCTCAACGGCCTCCACGTCTACTGCCTGGCAGTGCCCATCAGTAAGACCCCGTGCTGCTGCTGCTGCTGCTGCTGCTGCTGCTGCTGGCGTTTGCTATCGTTTCTGCTGCTGCTGCTGTTTCGCCCTCACCGCGTCACATCTGCTCTCCGGGCGCACGGCCGTTTGCGCCTCCGCCTGCACCGAGCCTGCAGCTCCGCTGCTGCTGCTGCTGCTGCTGCTGCTGCTGCTGCTGCTGCTGCAGGCAGCACGAGCAAGACCTCCGTGGGGGACCTGCTGTGTCGGGTCTCGCGGCAGCTGCGCGCAGATGTGATGCTGCTGGGGGCCCGCAGCCACTGGCAGCTGCGGCGAATTTTGTTTGGCTCGGTGGCTAGCTACGCGCGGGCCCACGCCAAGTGCCCCGTGCTGCAGTGCGCCAACGCCTAGCAGCAGCAGCAGCAGCAGCAGCAGCAGCAGCAGCGGCGGCGGCGGCGGGGCGGGGCGGGGCGGGGCGGGGCGGGGCGGGCGAGGAGCAGCGGAGGCGGAAGCAGAGGCAGACGCAGGCGGCAGCAGCGATGCTGCTGCCGCCATTCAGGTGTAGAGTGCTAGCAGCAGCAGCAACAGCAGCAGCAGCAGCAGCGGCAGGGGCGGCGGGTCGCAGAGTGCGGCGCTGCAGCAGCTCGATCGCTGCTTGGACGCGGTGCGTGCATGCGGCAGAAGCAGTTTCCTGCTGCAGCAGCAGCAGAAGCAACCTTCTGTCTTCGCACAGCAGCAGCAGCAACAGCAGCAGCAGCAGCAGCGCCGGCTCTCAGACGCCCCCAGATGCCGCGAAACCGCTAGAAGGTTTTGGGGCTTGAACGCGAGCGCATGCATTTGCTGCATGCATGCAACGCAGCCCGAAGATTGCAAAACAGAAGCAGCTTGCCAGCTTCCTGCGGCGGTGCTGCTGCAGCAGCAGCAGCAGCAGCAGATGCAGCGGCAAGCGGGTGCGGAAGAGGTTACTTTGTTGCGTGTGTCTCGATACAGTGTGGGCATGCTTCCTGTGAACGCAGCTGCTAGCTAGCTAGCTAGCTAACAGGCTAGCTAGCTAGCTGGCTAGCTAGCTAGCTAGCTAGCTAGCCAGCTAGCTGCTGCTCTTCGCAGATGCAGCTGCCCAGCGGAGGCTTCAGCAAATGTTTCTACAGCAGGTCGAGGTGCCTGCAGACAAAAGTGCGAACGCATGCATGCATGCATGCATGCGTGCATGCGTGCGTGCATGCATGCAAGAAGCCCCAGGGCGCATGCATTTGTGCATGCAGGGCGGATTGCTCTTCGGGGCTCTGGAGAGGCTGAACAGCAGCATGCATACATGCGTGCATGTGCGGGAATGCGTGCATGCAAACGCATGCAAGTGCATGCATGCATGCATGCATGCATGCATGCATGCACTTGCGTACATGCAATTGTATGTTTGTTTAGAGCAGCTGGCCGAGAGCGCGGGAGCAGGCGAACTGTTTATCCAGTGTGCATTGCATTTCGATGTGTTGTTCATTTATTTCCATTTATTTCCATTTATTTCCATTTATTTCCATTTATCTTCTTAAATATTCTTTTAATTCAGTATATCGTGTATAGGAGCCACTGCATGCATGCGCCAAATGCATGCATGCAACTGCATGCGTGGTTGCCCTTGGAGTGTCTGTACGGCCAGTTGGCTTCTGTGCGGGGAAAGGCCCCCAACTCGCACTTAAAGCTTCGTTTGCCCAACAGCAGCAGCAGCAGCAGCAGCAGCAACAGCAGCAGAAGTAGCAGCAGCAACAGCGGCAGCAGCAGTGCGCGGCTCTACGCTGCAGCAGAGCCTAGCAGTTCTTTTTGGTAGCTAGCTGTTCTTATTGGTAGCTAGCTGCTGCTAGAGGGTAGCTAGCTGCGGTGAAGGAGTAGCTGGCTGCAGCCAATTGCTAGCTAGCTGCCGTGGCTAGCTGCTGCTTTAGGATAGCTAGCTGCTGCTGAGACTTTAATGGCTGCAGCTACCCACTGGCTAGCTGCAGCAAAGTGCCAGCTACCCGCAGCAAAGTGCCCGCTAGCTGCGGCCAAGTGCCAGCTAGCTGCAGCAAAGTCCCGGCTAGCTGCAGCAAAGTGCCAGCTAGCTGCAGCATGGTGCCAGCTAGCTGCAGCATGGTGCCAGCTAGCTGCAGCGAAGTGCCAGCTAGCTGCAGCAAAGTGCCAGCTAGCTGCAGCAAAGTGCCAGCTAGCTGCAGCAAAGTGCCAGCTAGCTGCAGCAAAGTGCCAGCTAGCTGCAGCAAAGTGCCAGCTAGCTGCAGCAAAGTGCCAGCTAGCTGCAGCTGATCACTTAGCTGCAGCTAGCGGTTGGCTAGCTAGCTGGAGTTGGCTAGCTGCAGCTAGCTGCCAGTTTTCTAGCTCTTGGCAGCAATTTGCATTTATTACAAAGGCCAGTGTCCTTGGGGCTGCATGCGCATGCATAAATTAGGAGGCGAAATAAAACAAATAAAGTATTTATAAAGCATTGTCATAAAATGTACTTCTCGTGCAGCCCTCCTTATGCAGATAGCGGCAATATAGGTGTCATGTAGGGTTTAATGTTTAGGGTTTAGGGTTTAGGGTTTAGGGTGGGCAGGTGAACGGGCTGCAGAACAGCGCTGGGGCTCCGAGCCCCACGCCCTCTAAACCCTAAACCCTAAACCCTTGCGGCTGCAACTCTCGTAAACCCTAAACCCTTTCTCAACCCTAAACCCTCGCGAAGCCCTTAAACCCTTCTCAAACCGTCAACCAGCCTTCTTTGCAGAAGATATGACCTCAAAAAAAACGCCAAAAAGGTTTCAAATGCATAAAGTAGAGTTATATTTTGAATTAGGATTATATTTTAAATTAAAATTCCATTTTAAATTGGAATTTTATTCGTGGGGATAAAGAGTTGCTGCTAAATGCGCTTGTATAGTTCTTGCAAGGCAGCTGCAGACTACAGGCTATGTTGTGGCTGTTTGCTGCTCCTGCATTTTCCGAGTTAATGGCCCTTTTTAGAAGGAAAAAAGATACTTAGATCAAATATTTTAAAATAATGAAATTATTTACTCTTAATTTCTCAGAATTGCGTCTTAAACATCCGAAAGAGAAGGACGAGCAGCTGCTGCGAGGTCACCGCAGCACCAGTGGACCACGGGAACTGGTTGGGGTTGGTGGGGCTGTTTTTTTTGTTTTTATTTCATTCAAATGAAGAAATATAAATTATTTGCATTTATTTAATGTTAAATCATTCAAATATTTCCATTTAATGGCAAAAGGGGAAAGTTTTCAGTGCTCCTGCAACCCCCAGTCTATCTGGCGCCAGCGGTCTTGGGTCTGTTGCTGCTGCTGCTGCTGCTGCTGCAGCTGTTGATGCAGCGCGAATTGCATTTAATACCCCTCTTTTCCCATTACCCCCATTTTGGGGTTTTAAATATAAAATACTGAAAAATATCTTTCAGGAATTCCGCGCCCGCGGCAACCCGCTCACGCCCGGGCATGCCTGCGGTCTGCAGCTAGGGTTTAGGGTTTAGGGTTTAGGGTGTAGGGTTTACACGATGGAAGAAGCCGAAGACTGCACAGATAAGGCAGCCCAGCTTTTTGCTGCTTACGGGGGGGCCCCCTGGCAGCAGCAGCTGCAGAAGTGGGCCCTCCTTGCTGGCAGCGAAACTGCAGTCGCTGTGCTAAACTCCCAGGTACGGTTTAGGGTTTGGACTTTGGGGTTTAGGGTTTAGGGTTTAGGGTTTGGGCTGAGGGTCTAGGGTTTAGCTTGCATGTTTAACATCCTGAACTGAGGCATATCAATCGAAGCTTCTAGGGTGCTGAAAGTGGTGAAAAAAGGCCCGCTGCTGCTGCTCTTATGCTCCTGCTGCTGCTGCTGCTGCTGCTGCTGCTGCTGCGTTAAGAGACAGCTGTGTGCTCGAGTTTGCTGCTGCTCGTTGCTGCCTGTGGACTACAGTGTGAGGTCTCTGAGAAGCTGTCGTTTGCTGCCTTTCGGGACGAAGCAACTGCAGCAGCAGCAGTGCTGCAGCAGCTGCTGCAGCAGCGAAAGCAGGATCCTCAGGAGACCGCAGTTGTTCTGTAAGAGCTGCTGCAGCATCTGCTGCTGCTACTGCTGCCGCTGCTGCTGCTGCTGCTTCTCCTCCTCCTGCTGCTGCTGCTGCCTCTGTGGCTGCTGCTGCTGCCGCTGCTTTGGCTGCTGCTGCTTTGGCTGCTGCTGCTGCTGCTGCCCTAACCCTTAGCAGTTCCCAGGCTGCAACCTCTTCAGCCGCAGCCCCGCTGCTGCTGCTGCTGCTGCTGCTGCTGCTGCTGTTACAGGAGCCTGTCCCGCGAAACTGCCTTCTTGTCTTGCTTCTTCGGGTGTCTCCTTGCTGGAGTCCCTGCAGTCCCCTTTCCTCCTTCCCACGTTTCTTGTGCTGCTGCACCGCAGCAGCAGCAGCTGCAGCAGCAGCTGCAGCAGCTGCTGCAGCAAGCCCCCACACCGTGGCTAGTTCTCACCGATGACTTGGGCATGTCCGCCAGATCCTAAACCCTAAACCATAAACCCTAAACCCCGAACTCTAAACCCTAAACACTAGACGCCTATGCCTAAAACCTGAACATCCTGCAGCGAGAATCAACCCCTAGCCCTAAACCTTAGAGCTGCTGCTGCTGCTGCGGTTGCTGTTGCTGCTGCTGCTGCTTGCTGTCCAGGCGGGAGGCGGCTCGCTCCTGCAGGGAAGGAGTTGAGGCTCTTGACATAACGGCTGCGGTGAAGCAGCAGCTGCAGCAGCAGCGGCAACAGACCAGCAGCAGCAGCAGCAGCAGCAGCAGCAGCAGCAGCAGCAGCAGCAGCAGCAGCAGCAGCATTGCTTTGCTGCAGCTATCCTCAGGCTCCACTGGGCAGCCGAAGTGCTGCGCCATTTCCCATGGGGCCCTTCTCTGGTCTTTGCACTTGAACTTGAGGCTAGGCAATTGGACTAACTGCAGCAGCAGCAACAGCAGCAGCAGCAGCAGCAGCAGCAGCGGCAGCAGCTGCTGCTGCTGCATTTCTTGCACAGCTCCTTCTCCGGCCTACACAGACCTCATGCTGCAGCAGCACGAAATCCAAAAAGCCCTTACGGGGCAAAGGGCAGCTGCGCTCAGCTGGCTGCCTCTCTTCCACGATATGGGGTCTGCTGCTGCTGCTGCTGCTGTTGCTGCTGCTGCTGTTGCTGCTGCTGCTGCTGCTGCTGCTCCTCTGGCTGCTTCTGCCACTTCTGCTTCTGCTTCTACTGCTTCTGCTCATGCTGTTGCTGCTGCTGCTTCTTGCGCTTCTTCTTTTGGTACTGCTGCTGCCGCATTCTCCCGGCTGCGATGCTTGCTGCTGCTTTTTTCTGTTTGCTTTCTTTCCACCTTTTATTTATTTATTTATTTATTTATTTATTTTTTAATTTATTTATTCATTTATTTATCTATGTGATTATTTATTCCTTTATTTTTAATTTGCTTCTAGAAGCTGCAGCTGCCTCTTTCTCCGCATTGTCTGTTATTTAATTTTGTTTTCTATTTCTTTTTGTTTCCACTTATGTTTTAATTTAACTTTTCTTCTTTATTCACTTTTTACTTATTTATTTTGTTTTATTTCCTTTTTATTTGTTTTATTTTTCTTTTTATTTTGTTTTACTTTTCTTTTTGTTTATTTTGTTTTCATTTACTTTTTATTTCCTTTTTTATTTCGAAATTTGCACTTTTCCCCTTTCCTCCTTTTGTCTTTCTCTCTTTTTCTAAAATTCCATTTTTATCTTTTTTTCTTTTTTGTCTTTCTTTTAATTATGGATTTATTTGTTTTCTTTTATTTTGTTTTATTCTTTCATCATTTTTAATTTATTTATCTTTCTATCTTTTTATCTTTCCTATGTTTTAATTTAACTTTTCTTCTTTATTCACTTTTTACTTATTTATTTTGTTTTATTTCCTTTTTATTTGTTTTATTTTTCTTTTTATTTTGTTTTACTTTTCTTTTTGTTTATTTTGTTTTCATTTACTTTTTATTTCCTTTTTTATTTCGAAATTTGCACTTTTCCCCTTTCCTCCTTTTGTCTTTCTCTCTTTTTCTAAAATTCCATTTTTATCTTTTTTTCTTTTTTGTCTTTCTTTTAATTATGGATTTATTTGTTTTCTTTTATTTTGTTTTATTCTTTCATCATTTTTAATTTATTTATCTTTCTATCTTTTTATCTTTCCATCCTTTTGTATTTTTGTTAATTTTTATTCCGCCTTTCCTTCTTTTATCATTTTAATCCATTTATAGTTTTACTTTCAAATTTAAAATCTTTTCTTTTTTTCTTCTCACCTTTTGGCGTTTTCGTCTTTTTATATTTGGACTTTAATTTTAAATTCCAAATATTTAATCTTTTATTTCTAATCTCTTTGTTTTTTTTTAATCTTTTTATTTTTTATTTTTAGTCCCTTTTTTGTATTTCTAATCTTTTTTCTAATTATTCATATTTTTTGATTCTGATTTTTTATTTTTTATTTCTAATCTTTTTATTTTTGTTTTTAATCTTTTTATTTTTATGATTAGTCTTTTTACTCTTATTTTTAATTTTAATTTTTATTTTTATTTCAGTCTTTTAGGCTTCGCAGCAACTTCTCTACACTTCGGCCTTTCTCTTTTTCTCCTCCCCACAAATCTTTTTTCGGGAGCCCCCCATCTTTGGCTGGGGGCCCTTTCTGCATGCAAAGTCCAGGTCTCGGGGGGCCCCAACTTCGCCTTCAAACTCGCAGCAAAACGCAGACTCGCAGCAGCAGCAGGTACCCAAAAAGGGTCCCCAGGGGGCCCCCTGGGGTCTCCCCCAGGGGACCCCCTTGGGGGCCCCCTTGGGGCCCCCCCAGGAGCCCTCAACGGGGGCCCCGCAGAGGGCCCCACGGGATACCTCGAGGGGGCCCCCCTGGGGGCCCCCACAGGGGCCCCCCAGGGGGCC